CGTGGGAACACGGTTCAAGAAATACCTGGCAAAAGTAACATCATTTCAAAATATTTCACTTCCTATTTTTAAACACATAAACGCTCCGTCTTTAATTCAACTAGAAAACTGACATCTCCTTCATTATATGTTTTCACTACTTTGAACATACATCTTCTTAATGACACTAGGTAATTCATAGGCAGAAAATGGATGTTTAACACATTGGAAACGGATTGCATTGGGCATGCCTGGGGACTTCAACACACCATGAATGGAAGTGTATGTGAAAAGCACTGAGACTTTATCAGTTGATAACAATCAATTTTTGTGTCATCAATATGCTTTAATCTCCTTTGCATACTCTTTAATTTTTATTTTTAACTGTTCTCGCCTTTCAAATGCTGAAAAATTCATTGAGTTGTGCACAAATTCAGGTAAGGCAGAGACAGTTGAAAAAATAAGTAAAAAGTACAATACAAAAGCAAAGCCAGCTCCTTTATAAATGGTTTCATGTGAAGCAGCCCCACTTCAACAGAACAGTTTTAAGGTCCTGTGTATCAGGAGGAATGAATATCATGTCATACATTTTAAAATAAACTTAATTACATTTTCTTTGAGATAAAAAAGTTACCTGTCCTCTGAGAGAGACTTATTTCAGGTCAGCTTTTATAAACGTAACAATTTTAAATTCCTCTAGGTCCTCAATTTGAAGCAACAGTTGAGAGGGATATCTTTCCTCAACATTGTAAATAGAAGAGCATATTATTATGAAACACAACAAACATGCAATTTCTGTATGCAAAACAATGGCAAAACTACCTAATTATTCACGTATTAGTTTGATTGTACAGATGGTTATTTCCAGGCAACAGCTGGGTGAGGTTTTCTTAGGTTTCCTTTGTCAATTGTTTTTCTGTTGAAGGCTATTAAATGCTAGAACTAAAAAGGGTAGTTACCTTGCCACTGAACTAGCAAACTGTAAAGTTCTGCAGATAGATACATAATTTCTAGAGAGAATATGCCAAAATAGTGATCAAGATAAGATAATACACTGCTTTGAGCCACATTCTTTGATGTCTTCTATTATGCTGAATAAAATTTTCCATATGAGAGAATAGGCCTCTAGACTACTATGCAATAACATTGTGTAGAGTAATACTTTTCTATTCTTGTTCCTTTACTTCTCTACCTATTAATTTTAAAAAACCCCTTGGATGTTGAGATTAATAGTCCCATGTCAGAAAGCTGTGCCTGCCTCTTGGGCATCTCTTCAACTTATGTCCAACAAAAGAATCGTTTACAAGAAGTTTAACACAGTGATGAAGAGTAAGAGGCCAATTCAAACACATGTTCAAAGAGAGAGGACATATGGGGACATATGGCAAAGGTGAAAAACAAGGGATGAAAATTTAAACCCCAGATAAGTCAAACAGAAGAAGGAATATGCAGTAAGTCAATAATTTATTTAAAATGACAGGAATGAAAAAAAAAATATTCTCATGAGATAATTCCCGAATTGTTTAATTGCTTAAAAGTGTCTTTTCCTAAAATTAATGGCACTGCAGATAGTGGCTCCAACCCTGCAAAGACCTATCCACAAGCCTATCCTAACATTATTTAAGCAACTGTTAATGATTTAATGAGCAAATCTAATGTTTGAGACATTTCAAGACAGTTAACTTTTCTTATGAGCAGATATAAATGAAGTAACTGTTTAAATACATGCAACAAGAAGGTCATAGCTAACTTGTAAATTATTTTCAGGTATCTTGCAATAAATAAATAACAATAAATAAGAAAAAAAATGCATTTCAAACCTGTTCTTCATCTGTAATGCCAAGTTTCTCTGCTAACTGTCTGTTAATCTCTGCAATATTTTCACCCTGGTGACCTCGATGCCTGATTTCCATCCAGCTCAAAAATACAGGCTGATGACCACAAGATACTTTCACAGCTTGGCCCTGTGAGTTTCAAAGAAATAAAATAAATTAACATCAAATAAGCTAAATAAGATGACTAATACTCAACCTAAACGGCATTTAACTAGAGAGATCAAAGGAATTAAAAATATTTTCTGGATTTTACATGCCCTATTTTAATTAATATTCCCTAACAATAACTTTCAGCATTTACATCTTAGTAAAGGGTGTCAGTTTCTATCAGCAATGATAGAATCTGTTTTAGTTCTGGCAGACTGGGCAACTTCTTATTAACAAAGACCTTTAGAATTCTTCTCCACGTTACCTATTTGCACAACTCTCAACACAGAAGTGCACGCTGGTTTCAATTGTTAAACAGCTTTTAAATTTTATGGATTGTTTTTAAGTAAGGAAAATGATTCCTCTTCCCTCCTTCTGCATGATAGTATATCAAACAAGTCTCCTACAGAAACATGTAGCTATGCGTTTCTGTTTACCAAATGTGGAAAAAACATCAGCTTCCAACGGGCACAAGTGGAACACAGGAGGTTCCACTTAAACATGAGGAAAAACTTCTGTACTGTGAGGGTGCCAGAGCACTGGAACAGGCTGCCCAGAGAGGCTGTGGAGTCTCCTTCTCTGGAGATATCAAAAACCCGCCTGGATGCTGTCCTGTGCAACTTGCTCCAGGTGAACCTGCCGCTAGATGATCTCCAGAGGTCCCTTCCAATCCCTGCCATTATTCTGTGATTCTGCGATCAGCATGTGCTTGAACTTCAAGTGCATCGTAACATTTGCTTGAACTCCAGGAGTGCTTTCATGAGCTGGGGAACATTTAAAATAAGCCACAAATCACAAACCCAGAACAAAGTAATTTTATCAATCTGTTTCAGAACTGCTCAGCTATTTGATTCCAGACTGAAGAATCCTAGTGTGCTCAGTCAGTTTCCATATAAAGAGACTATATCCTACCTTGTGTCACTCAACTAACTAACATTTTCCGTATTTTTTTCAAAAATGACTGTTTTTATGAAAGCCAAGTGCCCAAGACCACGCACGCTGTGGCTATACCACACATTTGCTTGTTAACATAGTGATGTTTCTATTTTGTTCACAACTGTACCCTAATAATTTCAAGTATCATTTGACATTTTGGTAAACTTTGAAAACAATTTCAGATAACATCTACAATGGTTCCAGGATCCTTTTACCCAATGTCATAATTGATTCACAGCTCTTCACTGTTTTCACACAGACAAAGCTTCTCCCCGAGCGCGAACGCTGGCGAGGGGCTGCGAG